GGGAGGTGAAAACAAACATTCCAGAGGTATATTATTTATTTGCTATGAAAGGAAGTCAATAAATAAAAATACCCTATGGCTGTGCAGCTATAGTTATATGAGCCAATTTAGTGTAGAGGGTTAAGGCATGAGGAGCCCTGGTAGCGCAGCAGACTAAAGCACTGTTATTAACATCTGCTGCCTGCAATTACTGCAAGTTCAAATCTCACCAGGCTCAAAGTTGACTCAGCCTTTCATCCTTTCAAAGGTAGGTGAAATGAGGACCCAGATTGTGGGGGCAATAAACTGATTTTGTATAAATATACAAAAGGATGAAGGCTATTGCTTAATGCATTGTAAGCCGCCCTGAGTCTCTGGAGAAGGGTGGCATATAAATCAAATTTAAAAAAACAAATGAACACTAAATACACAGCTGGATTCACACTCACTACTCTTGACTCTTGTCAGTTGAAATCCTTGGGGATGCCCTCATACAATGCACAAATGTTGGTTAGTGTGAACCCTGGTTAAATTGCATTTGTGCAGGACTTTGTCGCAAGAACAAGCATGTTTTTTTCCGTTGCTGCTTCAGTGCATTGTCCAAACCGAGAAAACTGGGTAATGTATTGTGTGAATTCAACCAGTGAAAGTTACTCCCAGGAATGAATTGTTAGTTTGAAGGTATTTGATCATGGCAGCTACCAGCAGAAGGAGAAGTACATGAAAGTCTTTTATACATATCACAGACTCCAAGAAAATTTATTTATTTTATTTATTTATTTATTATCAAATTGATATACCGCCCTTCTCCCAAAGGACTCAGGGCGGTGTACAGCCAAAATAAAAAAAAACATAGATACAAACATTAAAATTCAGTTTAAAAGATATATATATATATATATATGCGTTTTAAAATGTATTTTAAAAAGAAGAAGAAAAAAGATGCAAACACAATGGTACATGCACTCTTAAAGTAATGAAGGAAAAAGACACATTGCAATTGATGCAGAATGTTCCCAGAAATTGCCTAGTATAAAAAGTCTGGAGCTTAAATCAAGGGTGTCTGAGCCTTAGTGTCATCTTTAAAAGCAATTCAGACATCTGCTATCTCCGTGATGGTGAACCTATGGCAGGCATGCTAGAGGTGGCATGCAGTGCCCTCTCTGATGGCACATGAGCCATTGCCCCAGTTCAGCTCTGCTGCGCATACGCACATGCCTCCCACTGGCCAGCTGGTCTTCGGATCTCTGCCATGCATGCGCGGGGGGGGGTGGGGTGCGTGTGGGAGGGCCGGGTGTGCATGCAGAAGGTGGGGTGCATGTGGAGGGCATGCAGGGGGATGCACGTGCATGAGTGGGGGGCAGGCCACATGCACAGGGGCCAGATGCACATTGCATCTTGGGGGTTCAGGTGTGCATGCACGCATTTGCACACACATGCACTTGTGCTTTTGGCACTTGATCCGGAAAAGGTTAGCCACCACTGTGCTATCCCATCAGTGAAGAAATGAAAGTTGCAACATGGGGGAAGAAGGTAAAGAAGAACAAGGAGGTGGAGGAAAGGTGGAGGGGACAAGAGGAAAGGGAGGGAAGAGAGAAGAAAAAGTAGAAGAGAGTTGGAAGGGACCAGAAAGCAAGACAAGACACAACGGATGGAAACTAACCAAGGAGAGAAGCAACCTAGAACTAAGGAGAAATTTCCTGACAGTGAGAACAATTAACCAGTGGAACAACTGGCCTCCAGAAATTGTGAATGCTCCAACACTGGAAGTTTTTAAGAAGTGATGGACCACCATTTGTCTGAAATGGTACCGGGTCTTCTGTTCAGCAGAGGGTTGGATTAGAAGACCTCCAATCTGTTAAAATTCTTTTAAATAATCCATTAAAGATTTACAAACCTAAACAAGTGAAGGTGGGAGAAAACTAACAACCTTGTGCCCAGGGAAAGAAAAAGTTTGAAAAAGTGAATGAGCCTCTTTTCTACAAAGCATCAAGTGATGGAGCGACACTCAGCAACTACACATCAAAAATCCCAAGGATTCCTCCTACCCCCTCCCGGATCTCAGTGAAGTTTTTAAAAAATGGGGACGGGGAGGAGGGAGTGTGTTGTTTGACCCACCGCAAGCGGGGATTGTCCCTCCCCTCGATCATGATCAGAATGTCTTCCTCTCTTGAAAAACGTGTCGCCTTCATACGGTTGTGTCCCAAGGCTGTCACTCGTGCTGAATTCCTTTCGCCTCTCGGACAATCTTCATAGTCGACGAAGTGTTTTGGGGGGGGGGGTATCCTTTCGGTGCCACTGTTGACAATGGTTTGAGTATCTCTCACCAGTAAGATGTGGCTATCCCAGAATATTTGATCCAGGATGAATTACTCTTAACTTTTGGGATGGATTTGGGATAGATAAGATGCCGAGGCAAATTTTCTATGAGTGATTCATAACTCCTTCTCCCACTTATGACTGCATGACTGTAACTTTGATGCTTATATCCTTAACAATTTATATTGATTGTTTCCTAGTATGATTTGATTGCTTATTTGTACCCTATGACTATCACTGTGTTGTACCTTATGATTCTTGACAAATGTCTTTTTATGTACACTGAGAGCATATGCACCAAAGACAAATTCCTTGTGTATCCAATCACACTTGGCCAATCAAGTATTCTATTCTATTCTATTCTATTCTATTCTATTCTATTCTATTCTATTCACTCTACTCTACTCTACTCTACTCTACTCTACTCTACTCTATTCTATTCTAACAGTTTGTTAACAGAGAGTTTTGAAACCTTACCATTGTCTTTTTATATATAATTATTGTTCTTCCTGTTCACTATGTCATCATCAATATGCTATATAGAAGACAAGCCAATCATTTGCAAATAGATTTACTACTTTTTTAAAAAAAAATGGGGTGGGTGGGTGCTGTTTCACAAGGAACGGGAACCAATATTGTAGCAATGTATTAATCAGAATTTCAAATGGGGGAGATAACGTGGGTTATTTTTTTTCTTTTCAATGCATTTTCTAATATCTTGATTGCTTTGTGTGTTGGGGGTAGTTTTGTTTTGTTTTTAAGTTTTTGGAGTGTTGCCTTTTAACTTTCTTTTGAATAAAATAAAAGTAGAGGTTAACAAAAAAAGAAAGAAAAGAAAAGAAAAGAAAGACATGCCTGCCTCCAGAGAAGAGACCAAGTGGGTGCTGGCATGTCCTGTGTACACCAGGAGATATTTAATGAAATGCTGCTTTTGGAGGGGACAGACTGGCCTGTGAAGAGAAAGATCTGATGGCAAAACGCAAACTCTGTGCAAAGTTAGCTGGGGTTCAGCACAGCCCCGTTCGAGAGCTCAGCATGGCATGGAATGCCGTAACAAAAAAAGTCTTTAAATATCTAGACAATTTCCCTTCCCCATCAGTTCTCCTGCTACAAGTTCCAAAGAATCTGGATTCCTCTTCCTTCCTTCCTTCCTTCCTTCTCCCCTTCCCTTCCCTTCCTGTGACTTTTTTTGTGTGTGTGTGAACAAGGCAGATGTTTCGTAGAAGAAGAAAAAAAACCCTGTAGATTTAGTTCGCTTGCACCCAAAGACTTTGGAATTTGTTTGGGGTTCTTTGTTCAGACACAGAGAAATTGGTGTGTGAATTATGTCTGGATGTGAGTCAGTGTGTTCTAGACACCTCTAATGATGGGCGTAGCGTCATGCCCATCGTTAGTGCATTCCACAGCGGTTTGCACAAGCAAAGATGCCTTTGTCTGGGTTATCCTAATCCGTCATGAGTAATCTTTTGCTCGAAATACAGGCTGTTTTGACTACTAGGGTTGCTTCTCGGAACGGGGTCCAACTGCTTTGTTGGGTCCCAGCAGGATCTCTGCAAAAGAATCTCTTCGGCTCCCTTGAATGTGTGTTGACCTGGACCACGATACCTGGGTCAACCTCAGTGCGTTTACATAGAGAGGGTATGGTTCATTCTGTTTTACTGGGAGCTGGGGGGTGGGGGGCGGGGTGGGAAAGAGATAAATGATACAGGCAGCAGGAGTCCATTATACTGAAACTCTGCACCCTAATTTAAATGCACCTAAATTAAATTTTGTATGCTTTGTTTTTACTTAGGCTGTGCACCGCCCTGAGTCCTATTTGGAGAAGGGCGGTATAGAAATTTAATTAATAAATAATAAATAAATAATGTTTTTGAGTCGAGCAAGGGAGAGGAAATGGTAGCAGCCTTTCCCCTAACCCGAACCATGAAGTCTGAGAGCAACTGAAAATTAGATTCCTTCTGACGTGAGTCAAAACACAAACACGCAGCTCTCTCCTGCTCATCCTTCCTCACTGCCAGCGCTTCCCAGGGGTTTACAAAACATTCCTTCTGCTTGGAAGAGATCCATAAACCTCCCCAGGTGTGCTGTTCTTCCAGCTGCAGCTCTTGGTCCTGCCAATGACCATTCCTTGTTCCATTCACCTTTGTGTAGGTAGAAAAACCACCCAAATCCAGCAGGCTCAAGCATCCTCTCTCCCATGTTCCCAAGGGTGGCCCTCCAAGCTTTCCCCCCTTTGCCTTCTTCTCTTTCAGACCCATCTCTCTCTTTTTTCCCCAAAGGCAGGAAAGGCTGCTCCTTGGAGAGGCTCCGTTAAATTATTTAACTTCCACAAGCTGCTCAGCAACCCAAATGTCTATTTCTGTCTGTCAAGTAAAAAAACTAGGTCATTTACTGTTTACCATTCCAATCAAACAACTGCAGGGATTTTAGCCTGCCATCGCTGAGATATTGTGCCCTTCCCCCCAAAAAAGTCCTGGATCTCTTTCCGCATTTCCTACACCCCAAAGAGTTTGCCCAAGAGGGATCCGAGCAACCCTCTTGGAAAGGATAGAGCTTAGCAGAGTTCTCAGCAAGATTCTGTCTGGCAGCTCCATGAGAATCATTATCGACGGAGAAATCGCAGGAGGATTTTTGCACTGCTACCAACTAGCCTCCAGATCATCCTAGAGATCTTTGCCAACGAGAGATTCAAAGCCAGATGCTTCCATTTTAATACATGTATGTATTTATTCATTGAGTTTTGTTCACCAATACAGTGAAAAATGGCATTAAAATTTACAATGGGTCATTCTTAGAATGTCATGACATTTTTTTTCTTTTATTTATTTTTTTGCTTGTCTTCATAAAATGTCATTGTATATTCTTGAAAAGATCTTTTTTTTTTTTCCATGCACAACAGACAATAAGCTTCTTAAAAAAAATAAATTAAACTAAAGTACAAAATTAAAAACAGCTCTGAATATTCCCCTCTTTAAGAAAGAGGCATCATATAACCAGCAAGTTATCTGGACACATTCATAAACAGTGCAATATTTTTTTTTTCTAAATTCGTCAAAGTCCATCAACTAAGCCATGACCACAGTATAAGATTCATTAAATACATTTCTTGTCAACAATGAGTGCAAAACACATTCAGTAAGTCCTGTTCAATACTGATATAATTAAGAGAGCCAACTTTTTTCAATATCTCTGCCTTCCTATGAGAAACCCACCATATAAATCTGGTCTGCCTTTCCATTTATGGAAAAAGAAATACAAACAATCTTTTGATGCAACGTTTTGACATTAGACATTAGCAGATTGTTGTTAACAAATATTCAGATATAAAAATACAAATATGAAGAGTTTTCTGTTAAAAAGAAGCGTGCCATAGTGGGATGACCAGTGGCACCAAGACGTGGCACCGAGACCAGGAAGCTCATGCATAAAAGATGGAGCAAAAATGTCTCTGGACAGCAAAATAATCACTGTCTTTTATACTTATAGTCCATCCATATCAGAATCTTTTTATTTTTTGTCTTCTTCCACTCAGCACTGCTGGCTTTGAGTTTGCTTCCAAACTGCTGGTATTTTGCAAACAGATTTTTATTTTTAAAATTATTTATTTGTACAGGTGGGGGGAATAAGGGATCAAGGAGTGAACTCTAAATGAAGCAGTTTACCAGTGTGGACTATTATACAGACACGATGAAACCTATTATATTGAAGAGTACAGCGTGGGTCTGGTATTTGTTATCTGGGTATCTATGCCTATGCAAGATGTCAGCTATGCAGCCACCCCACCCCCACCCCCAGAAAGTGAAAGGCGTAAAGTGCATTGCTAAAGGAGACCCCCCCTTTTTTAAAAAAAAATAAAAACAAAATAAAAACAAAATAAAATTAAGAGCACTAGGGGCGATCCTGTGGCTCAGCACCGTCATATCGTGGCATGGGGGGGGTCACCCAAGACCAAGAGGGGACGCAAACTGCTGCTGTTGTGAACCGGAAGTCTGTGTCTGTTTGTGTGTGTGTGTGTGAGTGAGAGAAGGGGGAAGAGGGGAAAGAAGGGGCAAGATGCTAAGGACAAGACAAAATATAGCCCCAAATTGTGGCTGCGGTGGACGGTTCCGCAGGCAGTGCATCCAAGCGGGGGGGGGGGGGGCTTGATTGGGGGGCTCCCCAATCTTGCAGGCGCGTTAAGGAATTGTATTGCTTAACGCATTGTAAGCCGCCCTGAGTCTCAGGAGAAGGGCGGCATATAAATCAAATTAAAAAAAGGGGGGAAAAAAAGGGGGGGGAAAGGAAGCAGGGTTGGGCGCGCCGACGGTGCTGAAATGGACAGCTCCTTCAAAGGCGCAAGAGCACCATTCCCAGCGCCAGCCCGCCCGGCCGGCCTTTCCTCCCGCACCCCCACCCCAAAGACGCCTCTTGCTCAAAGGGTCGTTTGAAAACTCCGGGCTTGGGCATCATCGTCCCGTGTGTGGCAACGGTGGGTGGGTGGGTGGGGGGGGACAACGTTGGGATGACAAGGTCTCGGCGTCCCCCAGGCGCTCCTTGGAGGAGGAGGAGGAAGGAGGGGGGGAGAGAGAGAAAGAGAGAGAGAGAGAGATGACGGTGTGTCCCCCCCCTCCCCAAAATCAGTTCCTTCTTCGGGCCGGGGTCGCGTTGGAGGTGGAAGGTGTCGCCAGCAGCCTCATCTTCTTCCGTGCTTTTCTGGTTTGTCCACAATCCCAACAAACATGCACAGCCAAAAGTGCTTGTAAAAATTCGGGGGGAAATCCGCTGCAGCTGGTGCAGAGGCGCTGCGGTGCCCGCTTTATACCCCGGACGGCGATTTCCCAGCCATGCCCTTCAGCACTTCGTCTATTCGATCGTCTTCGATGACCACTGCAAGGGGGGGGGAGAGGGAGGGAGGGAGGGAAGGAAGGAAGGAAGGACAAACCCAACACGCGCCGTCAGGACGGGAGGCGCTGGGTCCCCCACCCTCCACCCCCATCCAGCCCTCTTAGGCCCGGGGAGGGGAGGGGGGGTGTTAGACGGGCAGCTTTGGGCTCCGGGAGGCTCAGATTACGAGTCCTCCCCCCCCTTCCCTCCTTCCCCTCCCCGCGCCCATCAATGGAATTCCCGCTGGCCATAATTACTTATTATTATTATTATTATTATTATTATTATTATTATTATTATTATTATTATTATTATTATTATTATTATTATTATTATTATTATTATTTATTGGTTAATCTTTAGTGAGATTCACAGCCTTTGAGGCTGGTTAATAGCTCAGCAGCTCGAGTCCTAACCAAGGACCTAGGAACTGTTAAGGTTATTATTATTATCATCATCATCATCATCATCATCATCATCATCATCATTTATTTATTTATTTATTTATTTATTTAATTTATATACCGCCCTACTCCCGAAGGACTCAGGGCGGTGAAGAGCCAAACAGTTAAAAATACATAAACGCAAAATTTAAAAACAAAGTCAAATCGAATTAAACAAATTTGGCCCAAACGTATTAAAAACCCCAATCATGTTAAAAAAAAAAAACCAATTAAAATTTGCGTAATTAAAAAGAGGGAAAAGCCCCTCCTGGGAAATAAGGGCCCCTCCTTTGCACTTTCCAAAGGGGCTCCGGGAGGGGGGGAAGAGAGGCGGTCGGAGCGCTCAAGTGACCCGCGGTGGGGCGGGGGGGCTTCTTTGGGGGGGGGGGGGGGGCGCCGAGAATTCCTGCGCCAAAGAGGCCTGGTGGGGAATCAAGCAGCCGCTTGATTCCGTGGGGAATTTCAAAGCGGGGGGGGGGCGATCTATTTATTTTGGGGGGGTGGGGGGGAAAGAAACCCAGCGCCATCCAGCCGGCCGGCCCTCCCCGCTTTTCTGCGGCAGGCAGGATCCACCTGCGGGGTGGGAAAATTTACAGCGGCAGCCAAGTGCGGGGATTGGGGATGGGGGTGGGGGGGATTGATTTGATTTGATTTGATTTGATTTGATTTGATTTTTATACCGCCCCTTCTCCCCGAAGGACTCAGGGCGGTGAACAGCCATAACAAAACAATATACAAGACAAATTTTAAAAACCAGATTCAAATAATGCAATTTTTTTGGCCGGATTGAAAATCCCCCCATTCTACAACCATGTTCAAACCCCATATTTAAAACCCGATTCAAATGATGATGGTCCCATCAGGCCGGCTTGCTGGAATAACAAGGGGAAACGAGGGGGAATCTCAGCCAGGGGAAGGGGGGAGGGGGGGGAGGGGGGGGCTCACATCCCCCCCCCCCCCCCCCCCGTGTCCCCGCAGGAATCGAGGGGGGGGGCCCCCCCCCCCACCCCCAATCCCCGCTCCCCATCCTACAGCGACCACCAAAGGGGGAGAGGTGCGAGGGGAGGGGAGCGGGGGTGATGTTGCTGCGGAGGCTCACTCACCTCGCTTGGCTCGTCCGATCTGGCCTAACTTGGGGGGCCGCTTGGATTGGTTGCCCCAGGAGTTGGTGTCCTGGAGGCGGCAGCTGAAGGAGAGGTCGCCCACCTCCGAGTCGGTGCCATAGCGGGCCACTTTGTCGTCGTTGTAGGGCAGGATCTCGGACATGGTGGCGGGGCGCGGGGGATGGAGAGGTGCGGGGGGGAAGAGAAAGAGGCAAAGCAAGCAAGCACGCAAGCAAACAAGCGCCGACGATAGGAAAAAGCTCGCTCTAGGGTAGCCTGGCCGGAGCTTGGTTTGGAGCGGCGGCGAAGAAGAAGAAGAGCTGGCGAGGGCGGGCGAGACTAGGCGGGCGATGGGCTCCGAGAGGCAGTGCGGATCCAGCCGGGGCGGGCAGGCAAGGGGTTGGGGGAGGGAAGCGCGTGCGGCGTCCAACAGCCTCGACCAGCGTCTGAGCGGAGCGCTTGGGACAACCCTACATCATAAAGGAAACCCGGGGCGGAAGGATGAAGTCATGCATCCGGGGCCGAACGCGCAGGGGCTCGGCGCGGGGAAGGTCCTCCTCCGGAGCCTTTGCGTGCAGCCCAGGGGCGGGGACAACCGGGGAGGGAGGGAGGGAGGGGTGGGGGAGAGAGGGAGGGAAGGGAGGGGGAGGGAGGGAGGGGGGGAGAGAGGGAGGGAGAGAGGGAGGGGTGGGGGGGGGAGAGAGGGAGGGGTGGAGGAGAGAGGGAAGGAAGGGAGGGGGAGAGAGGGAGGAAGGGAGGGAGAGAGGGGAGGGGAAGGGAGGGGGGAGAGAGGGGAGGGAGGGGTGGGGGAGGGAGAGAGGGGGAGGAAGGGAGGGGGGGAGGGGGGGAGAGGGAGGGAGAGTGAGAGGGAGGGAGGAGTGGGGGAGAGAGGGAGGGAAGGGAGAGGAGAGAGGGAGGGGGGAGAGGGAGGGAGGGAGGGGTGGGGGAGAGAGGGAGGGAAGGGGAGAGAGGGAGGGAGAGAGAGGGAGGGAGGGGTAGGGGAGAGAGGGAGGGAAGGGAGGGGGAGAGAGGGAGGGAAGGGAGGGGGAGAGAGGGGAGGGAGGGGTGGGGGAGAGAGGGAGGGAGGGGAGGGGGAGAGAGGGAGGGAGGGGTGGGGGAGGGAGGGAGGGGAGAGAGGGAAGGGAGGGGGAGAGAGGAGGGAGGGGGAGGGTAGTGAGGGAGGGAGAGAGGGAGGGGGGTGGGGGAGAGAGGGAGGGAAGGGACTGGGAGAGAGGGAGAGAGAGGGGTGGGGGAGAGGGAGGGAAGGGTGGGGGAGAGAGGGAGGGGGGAGTGAGAGAGAGAGAGAGAGAGAGAGAGAAAGTTGCAGCAAAAGCCCCCCCCCGTTAGAGCCGCCCACTTCTTCTTCTTTGGCTCCGCCTCTCAGGGCTTCGCGGCCTCCCGCGGAGGGAAGCCCTCTCGGATGGGGGTGGGGGATGGGGGAGGATGACCGCCTTTTGGGACCCTTCTCCCCCCCCCACGGCTCACAGGCATTGCTGCTTTCTATCTCCCCCTTTTCTTTTTTGAGAATAACAGAGTTGGAAGGGACCTTGGAGGTCTTCTAGTCCAACCCCCTGCTTAGGCAGGAAACGATTCAGACAAATGGTTATCCAACCTCTTCTTAAAAACTTCCAGTGTTGGAGCATTTACAACTTCTGAAGGCCGGTTGTCCACTGGTTAGTTGTTCTAACTGTCAGGAAATTTCTCCTTAGTTCTAAGTGGCTTCTCTCCTTGATTAGAATAGAATAGAATAGAATAGAATAGAATAGAATAGAATAGAATAGGGTAGGGTAGGGTAGGGTAGGGCAGGGCAGGGCAGGGCAGGGCAGGGCAGGGCAGGGCAGGGCACCTACACCACTTCAGACAAATGGTTCTCCAACTTCTTCTTAAAAACTTTCGGTGGTTGCGCTGGCCTGATCGGCAGGCGAAAGCCCTGGCTAGGACATTCCAGAGAAAAGAAGGCCGGGGTTCTTTGGGCTCAGGTGATGATGGTTCCTGAGCATGTGCAGAAGACTTTTCCTTTCGCTATGGGCTTCTCGACAGAAGAGGAGGATAACTTTGTTGTCACTTGGAATGTGCACTCATCCGCGTACATTAAAATGAAATTTTGTTGCATACTCAACGGGTCACCACCTCTAATATACACTACATAAACATGACTAAATACATACATACATACATACATATTACATACATACATACATCATACATACATACATACATCATACATACATACATCCATCATACATACATACCAGTGGTGGGTTTCAATTTTTTTTACTAACGTTTCTGTGGGCATGGCTTGGTGGGTGTGGCAGGGGAAGGATACTGTAAAATCTTCATTCCCACTCCACTCCAGGGGGAAGGATACTATAAAATCTCCATTCCCTCCCCAATCCAGGGGAAGGATACTATAAAATCTCCATTCCCTCCCCACTCCAGGAGAAGGTTACTGCAAAAACCCCATTTCCTCCCGATCAGCTGGGACTCTGGAGGCAGAGAATAGATTGGGGGGGGGGGGGCTAGCCAGAATTTTTATTACCGGTTCTCCGACCTACTCAGAATTTCTATCGGTTCTCCAGAACTGGTCAGAACCTGCTGAAACTCACCTCTGATACATACATACATACATACATACATACATACATACATACATACATACATACATATAAAATTATGTATGTACCCACATATATTTCAAAATCCCATCCGGATAATATACGGCTGGTTCTCGGATTCTTTGAGCCCGAAATTTCTGTGGCTAAGCAAGACGGCGGTTTAAGTGAGTTTGGCCCCATTTTACGACTTCCCACCATGGCTAAGTGAATCCCTGCAGTCGATAAAGTTGGTTGCTAAGGGAATCTGGCTTCCTTGTTGACTTTGCTTGTCAGAAGGTCACCAAATATCATCGCATGATCCCCGGGGATGTCGCGATGCTCATAAGTATGAACCTAGTTGTCAAGAATCTGAATTTTGATCCCGTGATTGTGGGGATGCTGCCAAAGGTCATAACTGGGGGAAATGGTCACAAGTCACGTTTTTCAGGGCCGTTGTAACTTTGAATGTAACTGTTATGGGTCTAGGACTACCTGTAAGGACCAAGTCTATTTGGTCAAGTGGACATTCAAAAATGCCTTCCCGTTCCCTAGAGTAATTTTATGGGATCATAGCATTCAGTTGCTCAGACTCCACCCCTCAAGGGATTAACAAGGTAAAGGTAAAGGTTCCCCTTGCACATATGTGCTAGTCATTCCTGACTCTAGGGGGCAGTGCTCATCTCCATTTCAAAGCCGAAGAGCCAGCACTGTCCAAAGACGTCTCCGTGGTCATGTGGCCGGCATGACTCAACGCCAAAGGTGCACAGAACACTGTTACCTTCCCACCAAAGGTGGTCCCTATTTTTCTACTTGCATTTTTTAACGTGCTTTCGAACTGCTAGGTTGGCAGAAGCCGGGACAAGTAACAGGAGCTTACCCCATTACTTGGCACCAGGGATTCGAACTGCCGAACTGCCAACTTTTCAATCGACAAGCTCAGCATCTTAGCCACTGAGCCACCACGTCCCGCTCAAGATTATTATGGGGTCATTAAAAGAAGATGATGATAGCAAATATAGAAATTGGGCTAGTCACTCTCTCTGAGTCAAACTCGCATCACCAGAGTTGTCATTGTGGGGAAGACAGGAGGAGGAAGAATTATAATGTTCACCACCTTGAGTTACATCTAGTCCTCATCTTACAACAGTTCATTTAGTGACCGAAGCTACAATGGCATGGGGAAAAAAATGGCATGATTTGTTTTTCCACAACCATTGCAGCCTCTCTACATAGTCATGTGATCGAGATTCAGACGCGCTTGCCGATTGACTTGTATTGCTGACGGTTGTATTGCCCCCCCTGGGGGGGGCCACATGACCCCCTTTTGTGACCGCCTGACAAGCAAAGTCAGTGGGAAGCCAAATTCACTTCATAATCATGTTCCTAACTTAACAACTGCTGTGATTGACACTTAACAATTGTGGCAAGAATGGTCGTAAAATGGGACAAAATTCACTTGATTGTCTTGCTTAGCAACAGAAATTTGGGGCTCAGTTGTGGTCGTAAGTCAAGGACTAGCTGAACTTATAAAAATAATACAGGCGAGATTAAAATAATACAGGCGAGATTATTAAGATCTAATAAGTAAATAAAAGCTTGGGTGAAATATGATTGCTTAATCCTGGTTTATTGAACAGACAGTCATTGGACGGGTCAGCATTCTGATGCTGCCATAAAAAGACGAGGCTTGACTTTTCACCTACTTATTTTCTCTGTAGATAATATCCCCTAGGAAATGGGATGGGAGGGGGGAACATTCCTGTGGGGTGAGGTCAGAAGCTGGGGAGACTGACTTGGAAGATGGCCAATGAGAAGATGAGAATTGGGGAAAGGAAAGGGAAGGGTTTGGGGGTCAGAGGGTTAGTATCGGCTACGACGAAGTCGGGGCCAGATGTGTCGTACTCAATAAATGGAATATTTCAGCAAAGATTAATTGTTTGGGAGTGCAATTTATTTGAGATGACATCGAAACCTGACAGGGGTTCAACAGGATTTCAAGGTTAAGGACTGATCTGGTGTGCATTATTGACACCTAGCTGGGTTTGGTGGCGGTGGAGGTGGTTCCATTTTGGAAATGCATCCAGGTGGGTTTCAGCTATGGCACCAACCAAGGCTCCAGGCCAGGAATGGGTTATGGCGATTCTTATCCGGGAATCTCTTGTGGCTTTCAATGGCGTAACTCCACAGGTTGCCAGATGTGAGATCTTGTTCATTCATCTCTAGGAATCAGTTGGAATTGTGGCTATTGTACCAGCATCCTTGTTGCGTGGCAATCTGCCTGCCGGAGCAACTCAACTCTATGTCAGGCTTCTGACAGATGCCCTAATTAAATCACGAGCTCAAGCCAAGCTTCAAAAGAAATCTAGTTATTTATTAGAAGCTTCATGTCGGCCTGTTCCAAGTGGAGCCAACTCTAATCCTATGTAATTTACGACCCAGGCTTGAACCTGTTTCCCCCACCCTCCCTCCAGAGTGTGTCATCAATCACATTCGCTAACGGAGCAATTTTGCGGGTTGTAGAAATCATACCCTCCGGCTGCTGTGGGTAACCCTGGGAGACAGCCTTGAGAGTGATATGCCTGGAATGTGCTTTTGTTTTTGGCTGCCGTGCTGCTTCGCCATTTTCCCATCCCCCTTGCCTATGGCAACTCGAGACCAGGCCAGGGATGCTTTGTGAGTTGACACTCTATCTGAGGGGCCGCAGTAGAGATTCTAAGAGTTATAGTCTTGGGGGACTTTGCCCTCCCCCTCCGGGAGTGTGGATTGAGGTAGCTCAGAAGTTCATGGGCCTATCCCAGGTCACCCAAGGGCCTACATGAAACAGCGGTCACACACCAGCTCTGGTCTTCTTGTCAGAGCAGTGGAAACAGGACCTGGAACA